TCTGTGTCAGAGAACGTCGCATGGTATTGAATTACACGCGTCGCCACTGGCCGTTGTTAGGGGATACAGACGGATTAAGCTTAGTTGAAGGCGTTTGGCGTGAGTCAGTGCTTATTTTAGAACAATTAAGGGCCACCAGGCGAGAACGACGCATTTCAACGTACCAGAGGAGTTCGAATTGATCCCGATGATAAAAGAGCGCGTCCCCAATAATACTGTCATCAGCGTCTCCTTGGCTGAGCTATCATTTTTCATCGGGATCATCGCAGTTGCACGGTAGCTCGAACACCTACGATATAATCGAAACGAGTGCCGGAGGCAGTAAGCGCGCTATGTTAAATAGGCCGTGCAACAGGTCTCTTCTCAAATTTGCGTACAGCTTCCCGCGAGATCTCCGCAAGTAGAAAAGCACCAACCGCAAGCAAGCATGGAGCTAACCGTTACACCAATTACTGGCCGACTCGTGGAAAGATGTAATTCAGAGTCTCAACACTTTGAGAGTTGAGGGTAATTATCGCGATTAATCGCGTCCATAGAAATGACAAGGGGCAAGGATACATGCATAGGTGTACTTACGAGCAGGGACAGAGTGTATATATATAAAACATTCAACCCTTAGCTCATTAGGCTCTATTCATTTGAGTATGCCGTGGCTCAAAGGCATTAGCTCCTATGTCAGCAAACACCATAATCGTTAGCCGTCGCGCGGGTTTACAGGAACTAGTACGCAAATTCGAAGAGATGAGGACGCCAACGACGCGTAAGTCGAGCTTAATTATGCGAAAGCTCAAAGGACGGGGTTTGCATCGTGGTACACGCGTGCTAATCTGGTTAGCTCCTTCCGGTCGATATGATCCGAGCGTAGACGTTGGAACCGTTGTCTTTACGAAGGAACTAAGTTAGGGTTGCCTTACACAGCCACCCTTTCCAAGGTGAGGGTAGCCCCGTTAGAAAGGGAGTTGGCAGCTAGGAGTTTGACAACAGCCAGAGCGTGCAGCCCCTGTTCCCTTGTTGACAGAACTAGCACGTGCCCTTATGGTCCTCTTTGAATGGCCCACATTTCTTTACTCTACGTATAATAATAACCATCGGGGCCTTGCGTATCTGCATGCGTGCACGCGCTCACCCTCCCCCCTCTCCGCCCCTCTTCAAAGAACCCCTTCGCCATCACTCTGGAACCCATCAGAAATCTACCTACCCCCCGCTACGTCTTTGTTGAGTATTGTCAAATCCTCGTCCATATAATACGCATGTACGTACAACCCTTCCATTATATTACATTATAATATTATTGCGGCTTCCTGCTCGATCACCCCTAGTCTAATGCGCAGATCCAAAACCCATGTCGCTTTTCTCTCATTGTTCTCTCATTAACGCGAGCCCTCGACTTACCCCTATACGCATACAATTTAGCGCATAAATCAAAGACTGCACGACAGATCGTCAATCTATTGTCGCTATAAGTATAGATATATGCTTTGTTAGGTACAGACTTTGGAAATGCTACGCGCATTCCCATTCGACGCGCTACGTTGTACGCGTATGCGTGCATTGCTGTACAACGAACGACGATAATAAACATCATCCTCACTGGTACTCCCGTGTGTATTCGATTGCGAGGTACTCGGTGCGTGTCACGCGAACCGTAAACGTGCCCTACTTCCGTCGCGCTGCTAGAATCGTTTGGTAGCTTCGTTATCGCGTTATTACCACATGCGTTCCCTTTCGTACATAATAACTCAGCAGTTGTATATATGGGAGCGCGAAAGTTTGAAATTATTCTTGGCAACAGTAGCAAAGAGGAAACGTGTCCGCGGTACGGTCACGCTACTCCTTAGTGAATGAAACCGTGACCGTGTTTTCGGTTAGCGATAAATTCCACATTAAGATTAAGGCAAAGCTACTAAAGTCGACGAGCGCTATACGTGCGCGCAGTTCCTCTTAGATACCTTCGTTAACGAAGATACGGATAATAGCATGCTTAGATTCTCGGCTCGCCCACAGCAGACCGAGACTTAGGTACTGTAGGTGCAGCCTACCGATCGTGACCGGAAAACTCCTGGGTCGCCTTACACTGTGCATCAACAGGGCCGGGACCGAAATAGCATCGTTTCTCAAAATAAAAGGACCAGGAAATAAGTGGTTCGGTTCCGTCATCGGTGACTTCCTGCACCACCGTCTACGCCATTCGTGACTTCAGCTTCCTTAAGCATACCAAACCACTTCACCCTAGGTACCCACTCACTCGTCTTTCTTACCACTCGTGCTGCTACGTCTCTCTACGTACGTGTCTGATGGTGCGTATGAGGTACGCCGTAGCCAAGGGGTATAAATAGAGTCCCGATGCAAATATTGCGGTCGTTGCCACCGCGCCAGGCCTCGAAACTAAAAGGCCCAACGTGGTGCAGTTCAGTCCCTATACTTGGAATATTCTCGGACGGAGACAGGAAGTTTCGCGAGTGCCTTGAGAAATGCGAAGCGTACCTAGAGTTCTCGGAGGCGGTGAAGGAAAGAGAGAAGGTTCGATGCACCGACGTCAGAGGATGACGCCCTGAACGGTAAAGCAGGATGGCAAACTTCCGGGTCGCAAGAACTCGCAGGGTGGTATATACTGTATTGCATTAGTGTGTCACCAGGCCACTCCTAATAACTCGCCATGGCTCTTTGTTATTCAAAGAACATTTTCTATCGAAGGTTCGACGGGTTGAGCCCGTTTCCGTTCTGCGTTCGAAGTGACCCGTTCTTGTTACGCTTTCAAGTCGCTCGAGTTCTTTGTAGACACCCTGAGAAGGGCAAATCATATTTTCTTATTATCCAATAATTTTTTCAGTATTGTCTCCATTTTATAAAAAAATATTTTTCTTCTGGTGCCCCTGAGCATGCTTGTCTCTAATAACGGGTTTATCATTCTCTTAATATGAAAGTCGTTAGGCAGTTTAAAGTCCATTTTTCTTTTTTCGCCAACCATCAGAGCGCAGATCCGCATTGCGAGCGGCGATTTAAGCCGGATTAAGTTCGAACCTCGTAAGCGAAACGGGATAACTTCACGTCTGGCCCTAAAGCCAGACTATATTTATAGGTCGCAGCTGCACAATGCACTTGGTGCCTCGCGAGAACGCAACGTCAAAGAACGAGTAAAGGACAGAGAATCCAGAGGAACTACGGCCCTTGTTAGTCGTCCTCTGTTACCAGCGTACACGCACGTGCGCCGCCTCACTGCTCGTAATAACATAACGGTGCGTTAAAATGCGATACGCGCAACCGCATGGGAATCCTTCTTCGAAGATGGATATAGCGAGAGGGCACCGTAGCAGGTCTTTATTTCACGGTTCCATTGGCACCACTTTAAAATTCGATAACCTCAACCCTTGGACGAGGTAGACGCTTATTTATGGAATACAGAAAACACGTGTAAGTGCGTGTCACGTCTGTCCACGAGCACGTTGAGTGCTAGGAGGCACGCACCGGTCCCGAGAATCCCCATAAACGAGAGGCATTGATAAATGTTTATGCGTAACCCCCCCCCCCCGCCCCCG